TTATTATTTACTGAATAAACTGCAGGAGTTTCCGCCTGCTAGCAAGCTAGATCAAAAAGCATATGGGGATCAAACTAGTCGAATAACCAAAGAACACATAACTCATAACTTAAAAGGACTCAGCATAGATGAGGTAATTCTATTGACTAGTTTGTTTCGAAATTGAGTTTGAATCAAGTAGTCCTGAGGTTGCTTTGCAAGTTTGCAACCTTTTATCTTGTTATATCGTATTCGAAATAATTAATGAAAATTACTTTCTGCAACAGGCAATCGATAACAACAAATTATTCATATTAGACCACCATGATTCAATAATGCCGTACCTGAGGGGGATAAACACAACTTCAACGAAAACATATGCAAGCAGGACACTCCTCTTCTTACAAGATGACGGGACTTTGAAGCCATTAGCTATTGAATTAAGCTTGCCGCACCCCGACGGAGATCAATTTGGTTGCACTAGCAACGTCTATACTCCCTCTAGCCAAGGTGTCGAGAGTTCCATTTGGCAACTTGCTAAAGCTTACGTGGCTGTGGTTGACTCTGGTTATCATCAGCTCATCAGTCACTGGTATAGCACTCGAAAAAAGCCTTGCAAATAAGTTCATAAATTTTTTTGTTTTTTCCAAATAAAACTTTAAATGTGTTCTTGTTTTGTCGCAGGTTGAGAACTCATGCAGCGATGGAGCCATTTATTATAGCAACAAATAGGCAGTTGAGCGTGCTTCACCCGATTCATAAACTTCTTCATCCTCACTTTCGTGACAATATGAACGTAAATGCACTCGCTCGACAAGTTCTCATTAACGCTGGTGGAATACTAGAGGCAACACTCTTTCCTGCAAAGTTTTCAATGGAATGGACGTCTGCAATGTATAAGAATTGGGTTTTTCCTGAACAAGCGCTCCCCATAGATCTGATCAAAAGGTAAATCTTATGACAGTATAACATTAATCATATGTGCATTGCCATTTAGAATCAAAGATGATAGCGCTTAAGGTAACCAAGTATCTACCCTTTGCTTTGTTCAGAGGAATGGCAGTTGAAGATTCAAGCTCCTCGCACGGCGTGCGTTTACTGATAGAAGACTATCCATTTGCTGCAGATGGGCTTGAGATATGGTCTGCAATTAAAACATGGGTTAAAGACTACTGCTCCTTCTACTATAAAACTGACGAAACCGTCCAAAAGGACTTGGAACTCCAGTCCTGGTGGAAGGAACTCCGCGAGGAAGGTCACGGTGACAAGAAAGATGAGCCCTGGTGGCCTAAAATGCAGACTCGCGAAGAGCTGATAGAATCGTGCACCATCATCATATGGATTGCTTCAGCCCATCATGCAGCAATCAATTTTGGGCAGTATCCTTATGGTGGATACCCCCCAAACCGGCCAAGCATAAGCCGACGGTTCATGCCTGAAGAAGGCACTCCTGAATACGAGGAGCTCAAGACTGACCCTGAAAAGGCATTTTTGAAAACAATGACACCTGAGCTGCAGACCCTTCTTGGCATGGCCTCAATTGAAATCTTGTCAAGGCACTCGGCTGATGAGGTTTATCTGGGGCAGAGAGACTCCGCAGAATGGACAACGGACGCAGACATACTGCAAGCTTCTGAAAATTTTAGAATGAAACTGAAAGAAGCTGAGGAAAGCATGAAGAGAAAGAATGAGGATGAGAAGCTGAAGAACCGCGCTGGACCGGCAAAGATGCCTTACACTTTGCTCTATCCTTCAAGTGAGGCCGGACTTACTGGCAAGGGAATTCCCAACAGTGTCTCAATCTAATGCTTCTCCTTTTTGTATCCGAGTCTTTTGTCAGAATAAAACCAAACTTGTTCATGTAATTACTCTGCAAACAATGAATAAAATGGTAATCAATTCTGCTTTTGTTCGCCTTGTCTTCCTCCATATTTAAATTTCACCGGAGAGCGATCAATGTACAAATTTCAACCTTGAATCCAGCTTTCTGCAACAAGTGGGGGTGGCTTCTTCATCGCCGCCGTCCTCCTCCGTCTTCTTCAACACATGGGATGCTCAGAGCATAGATTAAAAAATGGCCCATTTTCCCGATGTTTCGGAAAGATCAGGCTACCGACAAATCGAAATGCTTCTCTCGCAAGTGGAAGACACAACTGGCAAGACATGCATTCTTAATATGCATGTTCATACCTAATGCATGTAAACTCTCTTAGCATTCCCATTGAAAATTTTGACCACTTACTTTGGAATTTGCACATCTTAATATTTTAGTTACAGGAGAACCTTCCTCTGTAATTGTTTTTAAATATGTAAGATTAACTAAATTCATTTGTTAATCAATTTAATGTTTCTAGAATAAAGGTTAAAAAAATTATAAGATTTTTATCGCAAATCATTTGTAATACATTGGTTAGGTTTGAAGTCATCATCATCACAATTAAATGCCAAATTTTATTCATTGTTTTTTTTTTTTTTTTTTTTCAAACATGGCAAAGTTTATTAGATGCTTCCTCAATATCACTTAGTCCGGTTTAGAGTATTCGTTTTTGTGTTTGAGATTTTGCATTTGAATCCCTTCTTTTTTTTTCTTTTTTTTTTTTATTTTTTTTTATTTTGGGAAACTAGAAATATATTATCAGGGCAAGAAGCCGTACAACTACAGGAAAAGCCTACCCCGAGGCCAATAAATAGAAAACAACACAAACAAATAGCAAAGGGGTAGGAGAAAGACACAAGAACCAAGTTCGAGCGTCATCCCATCAACTGCTGCCAAACATAAAGGGGAACAAGGTGAACAAGGTAAATCATCTTTATTAAGTATATGAACTAACGAAGATGGAGGTCTGCTAACCCAAATGAAGTTGCACATCTCCGTGGTGCTGCACGATGCCAAGAAATCTGCTGCCATATTGGCTGATCTTGAAATCCAAGACTAACGACAGTCCTGGAAAGACTCTCCATACTATTTAACAAGCGTTGAAGTAGGGAAGGCTTCCCAACTGCCAGCATCCAAAGAACTTGACAAAGATGAAATCATATCCTTTGAGTCAGATTCGAAGATTACCTAACAATGGCCCAAAGTATTCGCAAGTTGACATCCTCGCAGCAGAGCCAAGGCTTCGACCGTGGCTGCATTAGGCGCCTGCACCGCATACCTCGCGGCAGCGACGAACTGACCTGTCGCTCCCTGAATCACAATGCCCACAAAACCATTTCGGAAAGAGGAAGACCAGCTAGCATCCACATTGACCTTGAAGAAGGGAAATGGAGGGGGTGACCAAAGAACCACCGAAGTCGGCTCCAATGAGAGCGGCCGAAGGGAATAAGAAGAAGCAGCAGCAACTCCTAGGAACGAGTTCATAAAACTCGATAGAATTTGGATGTATTCAATCAGGATTTTAAAATAATCCATAATACTACATGTCTATTTAATTAGGAATTGATTTTAAAGTTTTAAAAAATTAATGATTTTGATGGATTTAAAATGGTTTGAGGAAATTAGGCTGTTCATTATGTGGTTTAGCCGAACTCCTCCTCCCATAGTGTAAAAATATAGATGTATTAAAAAAAAACAAAAGGTTTCAGGAAATTCTAGCAATGGTCTCTCAAGTTTAACTCAATTGGAGTAATGATTCATCATCTAAAAATCTGTAACTATTTGTCCCTTAAATCATCAAAACGTGCAACTATAATCATTTTCATCAACTCTGCCATGTGAGGCTGAATCAAGGGGTGAGAAAATTGGAGTAATAGTCCCTCAATTTTAACTCAATTGAAGAAATGGTCTTCCAACGTTAACCTAATTGAAGTAATGGTGTTTCAACTCTAAATCATTTTGACTGAAGTCCTGACGGAGTTGACGAAAATGACCATAGATATATATTTTGATGAGTTAAGGGACCAACAGTCACATACTTTTTATTTGAAAGATCATTACTTCAATTGAGCCAAAATTGAGAGATCATCACTAAAATTTCCTCAAATCCTTTTATAGTGTATTTTAGATTTTTTTTTTTTTTTTTTTTTTTTTAAAAATCAAACATCTCCCCCCTGATTTTGAATGAATTCAGAGTCTATAAAATACCATCAAATTTCACGAATTTACAACTTTTTTAAAACCTTTAAAAATCTCAAATTGAATAGACCCTAATTCTTAATATTAGAAAAAGACTGGATGTTTAAGTATAATTGAGTCAACCCATGGAAAAAAGAAATAACATAGACTGGATGTTTAAGCATAATTGAGTCAACCCATGGAAAAAAGAAATAACATATTTTGGATCGAATAAATTGGTGAAGTGTAAACAAAGAAGACCACCACATGAGGCCAAAGACTGACCTGGAAATTAGTACCCAAGTCTATTTTTTCTAATTACTGGACGACTATATTGGACGACTGTATTGTACACTACACACACACACACACATATATATATATACATACATATATAATCATAATGTGGTGGCTCAGTGGTTAGAGATGAATTTCAGATTAGTATTTTACACGGTAAATTTTGAGTTCAATTCCCAGCATTAGTGAATCACACAATGGTGGCCAGGGGGAGGTTGAAATATCTCTAAGTCTTTTCGAACCTCGGAAGAGTAAATTGTTGTAGCAAAGCCACCAGCTGATTCTCTTTTTAAAAAAGAATATATACATATAGAAAGTCTTTAAGGGAAGAGATCAAAGAAATGAACGAATATTTTGTTATATAAGAAACAGTGAAATTTGATCTTGATAATTAAATAGGCAAATGGTTTCGGATTGAATTGAATTTTTGCAAGGATGATCTATGAATCGAGACTTATAAAATAGACGATTCGGATAGTTAAAATTCGATGTAGAGTGGACCACACACCAAATCCTCATTTTTTGTCAAAAAAATGGGGATCCCCTTGTATAATCCTGTATACATACATACACACACACACACATACAGACATTGAACAGTGAACTCACAAATCCCATAAATATACCACACTCACACATCCTTCTCTCACATTCTTTTCACTGAGTAAAAAGTTCAGACCTTCTACATATTTTCAACTTGACTTATAATTTTTAGTTCTTGAAGCAGACAAAGATGCTGCACTGCAAGTATCTCAATCCTTTGAGTTTCAAGGTGAACACACTTGTTGCAGCAACATCCAACACACCAGTTCTGTTGCCTATGAGTGCTATGAAATTGCCTGGTTTCTGGTCGATGACCGATGTCACGAGATCTCGTCGGACGTTGACTTCAGCTTCGGCAGCTGCCAAGGCATCCCAGAACACCACTACCGTTGATGATCCACGCCTCAGAGAAATGGAGAAAATGAAAACCGAAACTGAGGCCGGTCGCGAGGGCAAGAAGATCAAAGGAAGATTGGTGTTGATGAAGAAGAATTTTCTCGGCTTTAATGACCTTAAAGCGTCGGTTCTTGATCGTGTGCACGAGCTGTTTCGCAAAGGGGTTTCGCTGCGGCTCATTGGTTCTGGTGAGAATACAACTTTGTTCTTTTAGTTTACTTCTTCATTACAAGTATCTGTGAGTAACATTGTTGAGTAAGTATGTAATCTGTTTAAGAATGCTGCATTACATTTTCATACCAAACCCTGAAAAGAGAAAACAGAACTTCTCGATTTTAAACAACGAAAAAAGCACAGTTTCTAGGTCTTATAGCCGAACTTTTTGAGTCTTTGAATTAGATCTCTTTTTGTAGAAACTGAATTGCAAGGAGAAGTTGGAAAGGCAGCGTATTTGGAAAATTGGGGTAACACAATCACACCTTTAATAGCAGAGGAGATTACATTTGACGTTAGTTTCGATTGGGATAAGAAGATTGGAGTCCCAGGAGCACTCATAATTAGAAATGAGCATCACAGTGAGTTCTACTTGAAGTCTGTCACACTTGAAGATGTTCCTGGCGAAGATCGTGTCCACTTTGTTTGCAATTCATGGGTCTACCCAGCTAAGAAGTACCAAAAAGACCGTGTTTTCTTTGCAAACAAGGTAAACAAATTATGGGATGAAAGCATGCAGTTCTAACTTCAAATCCAATTTAAAAATCACTGTATATTTCTGTATGACGACATAGTCATTCAGTTGTATCTCATGCTAAAAATACTGAAAACCATCAGTTCAATTGCGCGCCAGTTTGGGGTAATGTGTGCAAAAAGTAACAGATTGATGTGTATTTTGTGCAGACATATCTTTCAGGTGATACACCTGAGACATTAAAGAAATTTAGAGAAGAAGAGCTAGAAAACTTGAGAGGAGATAATGAAATAAGAGAGCTCAAGGAATGGGACAGGGTCTATGGCTATGCCTACTACAATAATTTGGGGAATCCAGACAAGAGTCAGGAGTATGCGCGTCCAGTTCTTGGAGGGCCTATTAATCCTTATCCTCGCAGGGGAAGAACAGGAAGACGACCAACAAAAAAAGGTTAGTCAATAAGAGTTCAGTTTTCCAGTCACTGCTCAACTTCGTGTTAATTATTTTCTGTCATTCACGGATGTTGTCTTTATAGATTGCGACACTGAGAGCCGGCTAAACTTTTTTATGAGCTTGTATGTATATGTTCCAAGAGATGAACAATTCGGTTCCATAAAGATGTCAGACTTGCTTGCTTACGCCCTGAAATCTCTAGCTCAGTTCCTTAAACCTTGGCTAGCTTCTCAACTTGGTGGGAAGAAGGAGTTCGGAAACTTTCAAGACGTACTCAAACTCTATAAAGGAGGAATAGAGTTGCCTGATGGTTTGGTTAAATTTATTAGGGATAGGATACCTGCAGAGATGGTCAAGGAACTTTTTCGAACAGATGGGGAAAAATTCCCCAAATTCCCAATGCCTCAAGTGATCAAAGGTAAATAGAATGTAGCATATATTGGTTACATCTAAAATCTTTCCATTTTATGTGCCTTCACATGCCGGCTGCTTTCTTTTACCTGACTGGGGTCTCTAAATGATTTGTATTAGAGGATGATTCAGCATGGAGAACGGATGAAGAATTCGCAAGAGAAATGCTGGCTGGAGTAAATCCTGTGGCCATACGTCGTCTCAAAGTAATCTTAAGCTTTAATGATATAATGTCTACGTTTTTCATAGAGAAAATTGAACACTAGAGAAGATACATTAACATGAATTATCTACTCTCACTTGTCAGCGTGAATAGTTACTAATTCTGAATAAACTGCAGGAATTTCCACCTGTTAGCAAGCTTGACCAAAAACTATATGGGGATCAAACTAGTAAGATAAACAGAGAACACATAGAACATAACTTAAATGGACTCAGCATAGATGAGGCAATCAAGAACAACAAGCTATTCATATTAGACCACCATGATACATTGATGCCGTACCTGAGGCATATAAATGAAACTTCCACCAAAATATATGCAAGCAGAACCCTCCTCTTCTTACAAGATGATGGGACTTTGAAGCCATTAGCTATTGAACTAAGCTGGCCGCTTGACAACGGAGATCAATTTGGCTGCGAAAGCGAAGTCTATACTCCCTCTAGCCAAGGCGTCGAGAGTGCCATTTGGCAACATGCTAAAACTTATGTCGCTGTAAATGACTCCGGTTTTCATAGCCTCGTCAGCCACTGGTATAACACTGTCATAGAAATCCTAGCAAACAATTCCGTGACATTTTTTTTGTTCTGAATGCATCTTGAGTATGTTCTTGTTTTGTTGCAGGTTGAGAACTCATGCAGTGATTGAGCCATTTGTCATAGCAACAAATAGGCAGTTGAGCGTGCTTCACCCGATTCACAAACTTCTGCATCCTCACTTTCACGACACAATGTATGTAAATGCAGTCGCTAGACAGATTCTTGTTAATGCCGGTGGACTCCTAGAAAAAACAGTCTTTCCTGAAAAGTTTTCAATGGAATGGTCATCTGCGATATATAAGAACTGGATTTTTCCTGAACAAGCGCTTCCTGTGGATCTGATCAAAAGGTAAAATCTAATGGATAGTAACATCTATAGTTCAATGAATTTTGGGACAAAGTTACAGGAATTAAGAGCTAAGAGACAATGTCATAGGTAAAAATTAACAAGAATGTTGAAAGCATTGATGGTAATTAAGTTTCTACCCTTTGCTTTGTTCAGAGGGATGGCAGTTGAAGATCCAAGCTCACCACACGGCGTGCGGTTACTGGTTGAAGACTATCCATATGCTGCAGATGGTCTTGAGGTATGGTCTGCAATAAAAACATGGGTTAAAGACTATTGCTCCTTCTACTATAAAACTGACAAGGCAGTTCAAATGGACACTGAACTCAAGTCCTGGTGGAAGGAACTCCGCGAGGAAGGTCATGGCGACAAGAAAGATGAGTCATGGTGGCCTAAAATGCAGACGCGTGATGAGTTGATAGAATCATGCACCACTATCATATGGATTGCTTCAGCTCTTCATGCAGCAGTTAACTATGGCCAGTATCCTTATGGTGGATACTTCCCAAACCGACCAAGCATAAGCCGGCGTTTCATGCCAAAAGAAGGCACTCCGGAGTATAAAGAGCTCAAGACAAACCCTAAAAAGGTATTCTTGGAAACGTTTGCACCTCACCTGCAGACACTTCTTGGCATGGCCGTAATAGAAGTCTTATCAAGGCACCCGGCTGATGAGGTTTATCTCGGGAGGAGAGATACCGCGGCATGGACAACGGACGCAGACATACTGCAAGCTTCTGAGAATTTTAGAAAGAAGTTGGAAGAAATTGAGGAAAAAATCAGAAATAAGAACAACGATGAGAAACTGAAAAACCGGATTGGGCCGGCGAAGGTCCCGTACACTTTGATGTATCCTTCCAGTGAGGCTGGACTCACTGGCAAGGGAATTCCCAACAGTGTCTCAATCTAATGCTTCTTTAATTGCAGACGCATGTGTAGTCACATTAGCTAAAGTATGTGTGCTCCCAGTCTCGCTTATGCCTCAAATTCAAATCCCTTTTTCCGCAGTATAAATAAATTTCAAGTATATTGCTTGTATCCAAAAAAGAGTCTCTATTCTATATTTCACTCATCTTATTCTTTGCTTGCTATATATGAATTTTTGTCCGAATAATTCCAGAAAATTGTTTAACGTTGGTGTAGTGAAAATTTTTAATATGAAAACACTCGTTTACTCTAACATGAAATAATTACTGACCTCGTAATGAATCAAGTATTTAATAGCGCAATCGACTTAAACTTGTGTAACAGTTTTGTAGTGAGCAACCGAAGATCCTAAAAACATGTAATTGCTTTCCAGGGAATAGGGAGGTGAATTATGAGTTTCCAAAAAGGTGTCATAGTAGACAATCTAAATGTTAAAATTTTGTCCATACATGTTTACGCAAGTACATTAAGATGGCGGTGGTTGATTAGGTAAACTGAAACATCTATCACCAAATCACATATGGCCAATATTAATCAGAAGACGTAAACAAAGGATTTGGACAACTACTAAGAGACAAAAAAAGTGTCACTAGAGAATCTAATGTTTGCTAAAATGTCATTCAAAAATCTAATATTGCTAAAGCTTGTATAAAATTTTATTGTAAACTAATCTAAATCACGTAAGAATTCGAACGCATGTAAACGCGTAGGTTTGAAAAGATATCCACTCCGATCAACGTGATCATACACGTCTGCTAAAGAAATGGTTGACGTTGCTTGAATCATAAACAATGCAAAATGACTAGGTCTTAATGTCAACCCCTAGATATGGAAAACAATAAAGTGGATTGAGTTGATTACGGCTCAGAGCACCTTCACATGGAGACTATTTCTTACATACATTGAATAATAATGAACTGGCTGGCCTTTAGGCCTCCCTTGGTGTTGGGATGGGCAAAATAACAGATTTTTTTTTATGGTAATGGTTACAGGTGTTGGAAAATTAGAGTCTTTGTTGTTGATTTTTTTTTTTTTTTTTTTTTTTTGTTAAATAATAAATTTTGTTAGGTTATATGTTAGGCTAGCTACCTATGGAATTTAAATTCACGTCGTCATGCAAGTAAATACATAATTTAAAGCACACACATGATCAACCAAATGTTAAATGAACATGACATAAGGATTAGAAAAACTTAAAAATAGGTCGAGGCAAATGTTAGATAGTTTATCCTTACGACAAGTTTACGCCAGGTGCTCATTATTAATCGACGCTTGTCTCCAGGATACACTGACCACTTCCTTGTAATAACAATAATCCAAATCACAAGGCTCCAGTGAACCACAAATGTGTTGAAAACTTTCTCATATGGACTCAATGAGACTCTCTAATATTTAGTGCCCTCTTTGTTTGATTACGTAATGAAAAGTTCTTTAGTGACTATATGAGGCTTCCTGGATTATAAAAGTTGAGATGCATTTTTGGAAAGTATGTGACTATTCATGAATAGCAAAATATTTCAGCTATTCATTTGAATTTCATATTAGGATAGACAAATTTTTCTACCAGAAGACACCGCTTCTAGTTTTCATTCAACTAATAAATTTAATATTATAAAACAATATTAAAACTTTCAACAATCCAGCACATGAATGGAAATGGACTAAACACTATGCAAAGGACAATGCAGCACTAGAGAGATTTAGTAGGAAAAGTATCGCATCAAGATATGTAGATTTTGGCTTTGAACCTTTGGTAGTGAATTACTATCATATTACTCGGCTAATCAGTGAATATGATGTCTTGAACTGCTCTGCAGTTTGTGTAAACCCAGATAATTGTAATCACACAATACCCTTCCAAACATACCATGATTTCCTCTGTTGTGTTCATTTCGACCATGACAATTCCTAATTTCCTGTGAATGCTCTAGAAAATTAAACCCTTCAAAATGCAAACACGTAGCTTCGAAAAGATATTCACTCCAGCGAATGTGGATACACACATGCACGTCTGCTAAAAAAATGGTCGAAATTGCTTGAATCATAAACAAATGACTAGGTCTTAATGTCAACCACCAGAAATTGAAAATAAGTAGTGGATTAAGTTGCTCACGTCTGGAAACACCTTCACATGCGGGGCACTGGTTGACCTTTATGCCTATTGTGGTGTGGGGATGGGCAAAATAACTGATTCTTTAATGGTGATGGTTGGTTACAGCCTACAGGCAGATAAGTACGCGGTTTCTGGACCTGTTTTGGATACTGTTATCCGTTCTTTAAGGGTTATAGCTATTCAACAGGTATACTACATACATATCTTAACAGCTCTGGTTGATAACTGCTGCTGTCATAAAATTTTTAGGTCAACATACTATTAATATCACCGATATTATTCTAAACTAAATCACATATTTATAAAAAATAAAAAATCCTCGGTAATATTAGTAATGTAACTTTCACATATAAATTATATATTATTTTGTGTTAGATCTCCCAATTGGAGACTGTCTTATACAATACGTTTACCCGCCCGCTATGATTCTCATCTCTCACAGTCGAGTTGTTGCACTACTTTTTTCTTCAGTAGAAAAGATCTACGTTCTTCCAATCTTCCTTCAATTCAAGTTGTTTGTTTCGAGCTTGTTGAACTCAATTGTTGCACCAGTGTTACAACTGCAGTTTCATAAAAGAATGCCAACTAGTTAACATGCTAAAAGCACTTAAACTCTATTTTAAAGAGCTAAATCTAAAAAAAAAAAATCATCTCTAGTAGACTATAAAAGAGTCTCTACTATAGTAAAATGAACAGTTATTATTTAAATTTGTAGATCAACTGTTCATAAGCTAAATACTAAAAAAGTGATAAAACTCAAGGTTGACTCGTGAGCTGAGGAGAAAAGAAATAAGACGATTTTAATAAAAAAGGAGTAGGTCGAGTTTTTTTCTTTTCAAAATGTTTGATAATATAATATTCAAAATTTGTTAAAATAAAGTTTTGTTCGAGATGAATAAGTTAAAGAGAATGACTAAAATAGTTTTTCAACGATGTTCACCCGCTAAAATAGCAAAAATTTAACAACTATTGTAGATACTCTGAAACTTGAAAATGGCCGTTGGCAACCTCCGATCTGTCAAAAGCATGTCAAAAGGACCCTCTATATATTTAATATGAAGTATTTTTTAATTTATTATTATTAAGGGATGGCAAACAGTTCAAAGCTACTACAATAATTTAGAGGATGGTAAAGTTTCGAACTCGAAATGCATGGTTAGATCCCCAACACCCAATTCACTAGAGTGTTGGACCAGATGCAATATAAAAAAAATTTGTTTGCTCTAACATGAAATAATTATCGAGGTTCTTAACTTACTACGAGTCCTAGTATTTAGTAGAAAGCGCTAGAAATTTGTTTAACAATTTCGTAGCAAAGAACGAAGAATTTTCAAAATATTTGATTGCTTTCCGCCGAATAATAGAGGACTATGAGTTTCCCCAAAAGGTGTCTTTATATGATCTAATACTGCTAACATTTGTCTTTGTTGTAAAATCGACAGTGTGTGTGTAGTAGAATAAATAAAACAAGACACAAAATTTTACGAGGTTCCTCTACAGTCAGTGTGACTGGAGTACGTCATCAAGCAGCAATGATGCTTTCATTATAATTCGGAATAATATGAGTACAAAGATAACTCTATGTATTCTCTCCTCTCATTCTCTCTTTCTTTCTCTGCTCTGTATTGAGATGATACTGAGTGCTTTATTTATAGAGCAACTTCAAGCACACATCTTTGACAATATGATCTTCCTTCATCTCCCAAGTCAAGATTAATTTTTATGGGCATTGAAAATCTACTCAAGGTCTTCAGTTTCTATGTGGGCATTCACTACCCACTATTATTTTCAACACTCTCCCTTGGATGCCCACATATCAACATTAGTTGCCTCGTTAAAATCTTGATCTATTTTTGGATGCTCCCACTTGATGAGTATCTCCCCCTGATTTCAAATTCTTTAGGCTGATCATTGATCTTCCTGCTTTAGTCTCTTAGCGGCGATAGTTGTCGAACGAGGTGTTTTACTTGTTGTTAACTTTCCATAGGCTTGTCCTTCAACTGGGTTGGAGGGCCTTCTGCTAGACTTCCTTCAAATGTCTGAATTTACCTATTTTATCTGGAGCTGAATTTGATTCAAGGGTGATAGACACTTGATCTTGAATCGAACTTGTGATTTCTTCAAATGCCGTCTAGGCTTGACCTTGAATGAAATTAGACCATGAGGAGTTTCATGTGACAAATGATCTTAGGCTTTGTCAGGGATGAACTGACATGTATTTGTTGTGCTTGTCTCCACATGCTTCAATGTATCATTTTCACTTGCCTTATTTGTTCCCCTTACAGAAGTGGTATGTTCCCTAATTTTTCCCCATGCATGTGTGGCATCTTCTCTTGTAGTAGTTGATCACTGATGCAGGAGTTAAAAGCAAACCTTGCATTTAAATGGGCCATCACTTCTTGGTGGCAGCGAAAGTTTAAGTGGATGTTCCGACATATTGCTTTCTATGTCCTTGTCTTAGCAGGTAATAACAAAGGCAAAGGAAAGGACAGGGATATTACATGATATGAGATACTCTTGCTCTTGTTCCTGATAATATGAGATATTCTTGCTCTGGTGTGACTTGTTTGTAGAGGTATTCTTAGAGAGGAAGAAAACTGAGTATTTCAAGATACTTTGTGAAAAATGCATTCTCGGAGATGAGGAAGAGTTAGATATTTTTCAATTCTACCTTGCCGTGGAGGACAGAGGTTGACATGTATAGGGATTTCCCAATAACATGTAGTAGTGTTGTGCATTTACTCTTGTCAGCAACATTGGTGTAATTAGAACAGTAAGATTCACGCATTTTCAACTTTATCAGATATTTGATAAAGTTGCACGCGATATCCAAGAGCTGAGATTGTGTCTGAGAAATGTTAACAGACGTTATGCAGGGAAATCCAACTTTTGAAATTCGAAAATTAATGTCTCTTCGATTTTTGAATAAGTGGCCATGTTGCCTATCCTTTTATAGAGATATCAATTTTGTTCAGAAACACTTAGAAAATTGTTACTTGCAGAAAAT